GGGCTTGGTCTGGCCCCCGCGGGGGGTTTTACCTTCACTTTATTTTCCCTTTTTCATCTACCTTGCTATGGATTGTCGTGAGCCGCCTACAGGCATTGTAGGAGGGACGCGGCCGTGTAAGTCCTATGGAGACATAAACAAACCGCCTGCGGGGGGTCGCGGGCGGCCGCAGCCCATCCTCCCCCGCTGCTGCGAGGTTTCCCAGCCCTTCCAGGCTTAATCCATTCGTTTTCGAATGGTCACATTTTTATCCTGCCTCTTCGCGTTTAAATTATATTTATATTGCATCATAATATATTTTATATTGGGTATGTTCACTGTCTGACTATACCTGTTGAGATATCTCTAGAGACTACCTAGCTGACTATATCTAGAGAGAGCCAGCAGCCAGCCAGTTGGGTGTCGTGGTTAAGGCACCAGGCTAGAAATTGGGAGACTGTGAGTTGTAGCCCCACCTTAGGCATGAAGCCAGGTGGGTGACTTTGAACCAGTCACTTTCCCTCAGCCCTTGGAAGGAGGCAATGGCAAACCACTTCTGAAAAAACCTTGCCAAGAAAACTTCAGGGATGAATCCAGACAGTTGCCAGGAGTCAAAAACGGACTTGAAGACACCTGTATAGGTATGTGTGTATGTATACGCATCAACTCAAGGCAGCAAACTTACCTCATCCTCCTGCCTCCTCCTATTTTCCCCACCACAACAACTCTGTGAGGTGGATTGAGCTGAAAGAAAGAGATTGGACCAAAGTCACCCAACCAGCTTTTTGCCTAAGGGAGGACTAGAACTCACCATCTCCTGGTTTTTGTCATCTTCATCACTGCGCCAAACTGGCTCTTAATTAAATAAGAAGCTCGCTGCGGTTAAAGTCGCCATTATCCTTGCCCAGTATTGGTTTATTTTGAGAGGTTTATCTCTGGCATTCTTGACAGACTGACTCGTTTGGGGCTGCAAGGTGCCCCATTCAAGCCATGTTGAGGATGGGCAGGGACCGGAGATCACCCTTTGCTCAGTTTTAATTTAAATGTCTGAGGCTGCTCCCTCACCAAGGATTCTGGGCATTGTAAAAACAGTTAATGCTTTCAACAGGGATTTAAAAAAAATGGAACAGTACATTAAGAACCAGGATGGGGATGGGGGATTGGTTTTACTGGCCAGCATGTATGGGGAAAGACAGACTAAAACATCTGAGAACTTCATATTCCCTACCTATTACATCATAATCACTGTTGCCGTGTATCGTTCTTAATTAGTTAATTACAGTTACATCATGTTACATGGGAGCTTGCAGACTTCGTTAAACAAAGGCAATGGGTGGACATGCAGATTATGAAGCATTAATGGGATTATTTAATGGTATCATGTCTGCAGTGCCTTGCACTTTCTTACCTTGTGCCCTAGTTTGTATTTTAATATATGGTTTATTCTTTCCTAAAGTGACCTCTGCTGTATATGTTAAAACCTATAAAATGGGTTTTATCGTTTGATTTATGCTTGCTGCAAATCAAGGAAGCTCTTGGCAGCAGTAAAAAGATAACTTGTGACATTCTAAATAGCTAGGCGAGCTGAAGAGTCTGATTAAAAAGAATGTTGGTCTGCCAAGTAGCCTTAGACATCTGGAAAAGGGACTTTTAAAGGTAGGGATCATCACAAAAAAAAAGGGTCCAATATGTTTTTCAGCTTAATATATCTGAAGGAACAGCATGAAGAGTTTCTTTGGAAGATTTCAATTTCCAAATAAGCAAACAAACATCCTTCATTTACCAAACCTCAGTTTTTTCAGACAACATTGAGAGCTCCTTTCCATGAGGAATTTTATGGGGTGTGGGGAAAGTTTTGATACCTAGGAGCTGGGAAACTTAGATGTATATGTTATTGATCTTTTGTTGTATTCTACGTAGCCTATTGTATGCTTTTTTTTTTTTTCTAACCACAGGATTATTTTCCATTCTGCTATCTTTGTTTCAGTTTGCACAGTAGGATTCATTAATTCATAGCCAGGCCTCTTTAAAATATTTTGCTTCCCTAGACTGATTTGAAAGTGGCATTGTTCTGATTGATGTCAGACTGCTCATTTGTATTAAAGTGTGTGAAATTAGTATTGCAGATAAGTCATCTCAAATGGCACTTTTTTTGCACATGAGCCCATTTATGCTTATGGAGCTCCTCCTGTCACAACTAATCACATGAAGAAATCCTTAACGTTCCAGAGGGCCACTCCTAGGTTCTTATTAACATATGCGCTAACAGTAAAATTTGGTTAAAATCCCCTTTTACATTTCTGTGTTCTCAGTTAATATGTTGGCTGGTTATTTGATGTGGAACTAACAGAGAAAGCCAACAGTCGCAGAAATATAGGACTATAGAGCATTCATTGTTTGTCTAAAGTTACAAAATTATTTGCATATAAGCAAGTTCTGTGCATTGAAAGATTTAGTAATATTTCTTAAAACATGTTGAACCAATGGAATATTCCTCCACTATAATAAGTAATGCATTTATTTGCACATGATTTTCATGTCCATATTAAAACGGAAGCAGACTGAGAGATCCTAAGTTTTTGGCTAAAGTTGGTAGATTCAGTAATTTTAATCACTATAGAATAATAATGAAAAAAAAGATTTTAGCCTTATTTTGAGATTTAGTTTGATATACAAATGTGCATGTGTGTAACAAAGCTTTCAGGGCCTATAAATATTTTAGATGGAGCATAGCAACTTTTTTAGTGTGGTACCACTAAAGTATGTCACACCATTGGTTCAGGCAATCTGCAATTAAGCTCTAGCAATGGCAGTTTAAACTCAAAGTTAATTCACATTATGACAGAGATCCTTGTTACCTTTTTACATACTTATCAAGCAGAACTCAGTCTACATGAGGACACTTATGGTTTTGTCAGAAAATACAAAATAACTGCTGTAATAACTTCTGGAAGCAACAGCAGATCCAAAAGTCCATGCAGATTTTACTAATATAGCTTATTTTTAAAGGATGGGATTATATTGCATGGTAAGCAAATCAAAGTTTCCTGATTGTTTGGGCATTATTTCTTTATTTAACAACATGTCTATTTTATGTGTAAATAGTAGTTGTTCTTCTTTCTTTTGTAGTTGGAAAGACCTCCTTAATCACTAGATTTATGTATGACAGTTTTGACAACACTTATCAGGTAAGTGTCAGCAAGATGATCCCATACAGCATTTCAGATTAATTATCAGAATACTTTAATCATGAAAGAGAGATATACATCTAGAAAGATAAGAGTTGACTGCACTCATAATTTTCCATTTGAGGAAAAGCATATTAGCCCAAGAACCTAATTCGCAATCATTAAAATCATACAGAAGCTATGAAAGTGACACATTCTGTTTAGATATAAAATTGCAGATGAATCACATTAAACAGGGTAGTCATATTGCAATCAATAAAGATTTGATCAAACTGAAGTTTTCCTGTTCATGCTGCCTGAAGTGCAAAGGTAGTTATAGCTCTGATCATCTATATAATCTATCATCTGAAAAAATTCCTCCAAGTTTCACATAACTTGCAAAACATAACTTCTGTGCCACTAAATACAGGTAGTCCTCACTTAAAGATGGTAATTGGGACTGGGAACTCTGTTGCTAAGCCATACGGTCATAAACCACAATGTCACATGACCACACTGATTTATGACAGCAGTTCCAGTTAGGCAAATGCCATGTGGTCATTAGGTGCCACACCACATGATTGCAATTTTGCAACCTCCTGCCAGCTTTCCCATTGACTTTGTCAGAAGCTGGCAGTGAAGGTCAGAAATGGTGGTCACGTGACTGCAGGCCACTGTGACTGTAGTAATTGCAAGCTGGTTGCCAAGCACCCAGGTAGCGATCACGTGACTGTGTGGTTGCTGCAATGTCTGCAACTTCAAGGACTGGCTGTAAGTCTTGTTCAGCTCCGTCATAACTTCGGTCGCTGAACAAGAGGTCATAACTGAGAACTACCTGTAGATATTAAGTAAATTTGTCTCAGCTAGTGGCAGAACCTAGCTGATTTTGTCTGAGCATCTTGTTTCATATAAATAGCACACGTATAATTTCTTAGACTGTTTAAAAGAAGTACTTTTATGGCAGTCTACAAAATCAAATCCAGCACCAAAGGGTGCTTGTCATGCTTTCTTGGCAACAATACAGATGTGGTTTGCAGTTGCCTTTTTCATGGGTGATTTTCAGCCTCTGTGTAAGACCAGAAATTAATGCAGTTAATAAAAAATTAATCTCATGTGAAGATCCATAACAATTTTAGTCTGAAATCTCAGTACAGTTCAAAAATTGCTGATTCTGGTCTATTAAATATCACAGAAAGATACTTAATATTCTGTTAAGATTTGTGAACTATGAGTTGGATTTAAAATACTGTATTTTTCCGACAAGACGCCCCC